TTTCATTAATAGTTATGTTGGACTTTTATCAGTGATTAGTGTTCATAATAATGGGTGGATTAATGTATTCACTTAAACGATATCTATCACTAAATATAAAGTATAAGAAAGTACAAAGTGAAATTAAAGATAAAATTTTAATCACTTAACGATATATTGACCATTCAAGGCCAAATTACTTTGTAGGGAAAACATTGAATATCATCGTTTATTTCTGTTTAATATTTTCACAAATCTATTATTAATTTAATGGTTGTATCCATGAGCCGATTAAAGCTAGATCATTTTGGAGAACCTGGAAACACTGGACGGTTGTTTCATCCTAGTGTGGGACTCCTCAGAGCAATCTCGTGAATTGGTTGAAGTAAGACATTAACACTATTGGTGGTGGTCAGTGGTCCTGAGTTAGGTGTTCGCGCACGAAACCGAAGGTCCTGGATGTACGCTGCTGAGCAGTCCCATACTATGACGAAACGGCTGTCCAGTGCTTCCAGGTTTGCAATAGTGGTGTAGCCTTAATCGACTCATGAATTCAACTATTAAATTACTTCAATCTCCACAAAACCTCTTTCTGATGAAAATGTATTTATGTAAAACACTGAAAGATTAAATCATTGTAATTTACCACCATATAAATATAGAATAGTCTATTTATCTGTATGTGGATTATCATTAGGTCAATATAACTGGATCAGTGAAACTAGCTAGTTAGTTAGTTATAAAAAGCTACAACATAATTTTTTTACTGTGATTATAAATACAACTCAGTTAAGATATTCTAAGTATGTTTATTTTAGTTACTTAGATTACTGTTATTTTCAACACATTATTCCAATTGTGATACAACATATGACTCATTACAAAAAAATACCGAATTACTAATCCCTTACACTTTTAATACTAAAATTAAAATCACTCCATGATGTTAACCATGCAATTCAAATATCGAATCTCTATAAAACCATCGAGTAAAAAGTGAGATATATTTCGTTTTTATGAAAAAAAACCCACATAATTTCACATAGCAGCGTGAAAATAATTGAATATTTATATGATCATCGAATGTACTATTAACTCTTATAAATTTTGTTAGTTGAACTCATGGGTTGATCTAAGGTAGACCAACGGTGAAAATCCAAAAAACTGAACGGACGTTTTGTTCTAGTATGGTACTCCTTAGCATCCATGATCCCATGCGTGGGACTCGAACCCAGGACTTTTTGTCTAGTGAGCGAACGCTAAAGCTCTATGGTGATCGACTCGTGAATTCAACTGTGAAAGTACTAGTCTCTACAAACCTTGATACTGATATTTCATTAATAGTTTTACCTGGACTAAATCAAGATAATAATTAACATTTTTGCTACACTTATCAAGGCAAAAGTTCCATTGATGAAGATGACTGAATTAGAATCGAATTATTTACTCATAAATTAGTTCAGATTGTAAGGAAAACAACTGATAGTAAAGTCAATTTGACACGTTATAAAGATATGATACCTAAAATTGACGAATCAATACAACTATTATTAAGATATTCCTTGCAAATCTAACTTTATGTAACACGAATGACTGAATTATCCTATAAAATGGAACTGTTTATTTAATTCATAGTTATATTAAATAGTTATACGATGTGAAATATAGGTATACGATCATTTAAAAATAGAAGATTAAACAGAATTACTGATTAACTTGCATCATAGACCGGGAGGGTGTTTCTCTAATGTTCAACCAAGGTACATGACTGGAAAGATAATTTACTAATGACAGGACATCAGAGAAATTCCGACGAAACAAACATCTAATGCATTCAAGTATCTATTAATAACTGAAATAAAGTCTATTTGTAGTGAATACCACCTTAGAATTTCCACTATTTTTTTTATATTAAAAGTTCACCAACATTAAATTTACTTTAAGATTGAAAGGTCTATTTAGTAAAAACGGGTGGAAATAATCATTATTTCTTTCAATGTTCAATAATGGTGTAATATCTAGCATTTTCGAGTATTTTTCTGTTCACATAGTGTCAGTGCTGCATATCAGAGAGTGTAATTTTCATTGGGGACTTCATTTCAATCATCTACAGATAGCTGCATTTGTTTTGTGGGAATACAAGATATCACACTGTCATTGAATAGTGAGCAAGGTAGAGTTTTCCTTGTACTAAAATTATCAATAAACTTAAACAAAGGAGTTTTGATCTTTATTTTGTTATTTATGTTGTTCTCCTTCTCTTATTAGTAATAGGATATAGTTCTAGTAGACTTGCATTAAACATTACTTACATCCTCAAAAATACTTGTTATGAAACCATTGGAATATATTTTGATGTTCTTGAGATACCTAGTTGATAGAGGTCATTTGGTGGATAGAACCAAATCTTTTCAAATGATCTAACATATACCCTTGTCATTTCCTAATGGTATTTAATTCCATGTCCAACATATACCAGAAGCTATATGGATCTTAACCATTTACTTGAATATTAAAAATAGTTGAATTTTGTTGTTAAGTCTTCTGTTGTCTAAGTATTCCTTAATAAGTTACTTTGATGCATGTTATAATACAAGAAATTTTTTTCTCCTTTTATCATTGCAAAGATTATCGTTTAATCTTTATTTAGTAGTTTGGACGATTAGTCATAATTTCTCAATCTTTTCATAATTAAACAATGGAAACTTGTTAAATTTAGTAATAAATCATTTAAATTAAGCATAAATCACCTACTGATTAATAAAAATATCTCAATATATATATATAAATCATTATTTCTCCTCATTGATTCACCCTCTTTGTAGTTGAGTAGCTATCTAACTGATTTTTTCTTACTCTCTTGTTAGTTTGTTTATCTATTCAACTATACTTTGTGTCTAAATAACTTGTTATCAGCTAGTTACAACGTCTTAAATGTTTACATACATGCGTATAAAAACAGTATACTGGGATGAAATGAAACGAGAAGAAAACTAGTTATGCTGGTATCAGGATACCCTTAGGATTTTTCTTTATCTTGACAAGAAGAGAAGAAAAGAGAAAACAACATTCTCTGTTCATAATGATAATGACGATGGTGATGATAATGAAGATGAATGGTTACATTAACATGTATATGTGATTGTTGATTATTCATTCTGTTTATTATGTTTAGAAAATTCTTAATGGTTGTCATAGTACTAGTGTATTATTTTTACAATATAAGGTCATCTAGTTAATTTATTTAATAAAAGGATGGCGGTAACAAGATTACAGACAGAAAATCTCTATGCCTATCACCATAATTAGTAGCAACACACATTCCAGACACGTGTTTATATCTATCAGAAGGTCAGTATCTTCAACCTGTATTCTTTCAATTTGCTGATTTTTCAGTGATTAAATCTATTATTTTGCTTCCAATTTTTTAAAAAAAACTATTGTTTTCTTGATTGTATGATCATTGTATTGTTACTCATTATTCCACACGCGCACGCAAATATATATTTATTCACAACATTCATTCATATATAATTGTTAATTAATAATTTGTATTTATGATTGTTTCACCAATGACTTATTTCAAGATGTTCCTGAAATTCTAATAAGAAATTTTGACTGGAACAGTACAGGTATGTTGGGAGTGAATTAATTATAACCAGTGGTACTGGATGTTTTTGAGGCTACATCAAAAATTCTTTGAAATTGTGGTTTGACCACGACCCAGTGATTCTATTTGTTAAATGTTCCTCAGAAAATTTACAAGTTATGAGTTCGCTCCCTGATATTATGGTGGTATATGCCCTGTCGGGTCTCACTCCAGAACTAGATAGCTGTCCAGTCTTCTCTGCTTTACGAAGTTATTCCATCTCAGAACAATCTGACAAATACAAGCTACAAACTCAACAAATCTTCACAAGATTCTTTCAACTAAACTATTGACTGATACAATTTATTACATCTCATTTTCTACTTACTTTTTCCTAAATTGCAAGTCTTTTGACCGGATGTTTATAGTAATAACAAAACCATTGTATATATCGAATGTCTACATGTTTTAAAAATAAATGTATCTGAGATATATTCCGTAATTAATCAGAGATTGAAATCTCAGTTAGTTTGTACAACAAAAATCCAATACAAAGTACTGTCCTCTCTTATGAAAATTATCAGTTAATCAATGATAGGTAATATAGAAGCTAATACTCACTTTGTATCAGAACTGATCAATAATATCTCTTTTAACTCGGTTACTTTTGGTGGTTAAGAATTATTCGAAGCACATAATTCTCTTTCGTACAATTAAAGTATAGTTAATTAGCAACTAACTTGTAAAATAGAATCAAGATAATATTGATCATAAACTTTACAATAAAAATTTATAAAACTGGGCATCACATCATGTTATAAATATTAATAATGGAATAACGACACTGATAACACCACAGTATTAGTTTTACTACACGTTTTCATATCTAATAACAATTGAAACACAACTATGTTTATACGCAAATGTGAAAAAAGGTTACAATTATTTACTAGACAATGAGACGTAAGATTTACAACATAAAAATTGTCTATTTGTTGTCACTGTCATGAATTTCTGATCGATTTACATTAAAATCATAGTTTTGATGCTATTCATTTTAACAACTAATTGCTTACAAAAATCAATTCGTATTAATCAATTAACTCCTTATTGATAAACCCAAATATTCTAACTGAGATCATGAATCGATGTGTTAGACTACCATTTAAAACATGAAACCACTAGACAGCTGTTTCGTCCTAGTATGGGACTACTCAACAGTGTACATAAACAATTCCGCATGTGGGACTCGAACCAAGGACCTTTGATCTCATGTGTGAACTTTCAATGTTTAGACAACTGAATCAGGACCTAACGGTAATAATGTTTCATACTAAGCTGAAACAATCATCCAGTGCTTTCAGGTTTTCGATGGTAGTCTAACATTGATCCACTTATTATCTCAATGATCTCCATAACCCTTTACTGATAATAAAATATTTACAAATTTTATTTATATTCAGATTAAAAAAATTAATGATAAACAACAAATTAGTTGAAATTATTTACAATTTTGTAAAAATGAATAAATTTACACAATTTATCATTTGCCTTTTTAAATAATATAAGGAATATATAACAGAGAGTAATAGACAATGATTAGATGTGTGTAGGCAAACAGTGGAAAATAGTTAATAATACTACTAATAATATACACATTAATTACAAAAATCTTTATTGATTCTTTTGAAAATCATCGTAATATTAGTTTATTTTACAACACTAAGTATTGTCTTTATTCTTCGTCACTTTTAACCGTTAACGAGGATGAGTTCGTTGCCGGAAAACGAAATTGAATAAGGTTGGGATAGGGGAAATACAATAATTCGAAATTGTTGTATAACATATAAAAGAAAATAAACGAAATAGAAATAAAAGAAATCAACTGAAATTATGAACAGAAAGAAAGAAAGAAACAATTTGTTAACAATATTGATCTGTATAGACTTTTGCCATGAATATAATACAATAATTACACAATATTAAAGTGATTGATATCAAACATAAAGGTGATGATATGTACAATACAATTGAAAATATGTATGAATATGATTAATCAATGTTGTGCTTCTCTTTTGTTTGCCGTTAGGATTATTGTTGTTATTATAGATATATCATTTGATTTTCTGATTTAGATGATTTTCCATTTGAATGACCATAAATTGCTGATACAGGAGAACGAATCATATTTACATTTTGATTACGTAAAACAGTATGTGTAGGTGTACGACGTATTCGGAAATCAAGTGTTGGACCGTGTAAAGTCTAGAAAAAAAAGAAGGAAATTGAAGACAAATAATAGAAGTGTTGATCTGAAAAATCTAAAGATTTTATTAAATCATTATCATTCATAACATAACTTTTAAATTCATTTTAATCATGTCATACAATAACTAATGCATAACTTAGAACGATACTTTGTTGGGTCAATCAATTCTAAATTATCATCATTCAGTGAAATTCTTAAGATGTCGGAAAGAGGTCGAGCTTGTGGTAGTTTGGCGAATGCTACTTATGCTGAAATTTATGAGTAGTATGTAGCATCAATCGATGGAAATAACGCGTGCTGTACTACGCCAAGTGAACGTAGATATTTAATACACTGATCTAGCTCTATAAACATCTATGGTATGATGACCCACCTTGTCTACATAGATAATGAGACTTTTTTTCTTGAATTATGTACGTTCACATGTATCTATCCATATTATATTAGATATAAAATCAAGTCCATCATGTAATACATAAATTAAATTAACATTTTCAACTTGACTTACATTTTTAACTAATGGAGTGACACAATCCTTTGAGTTACCACAAACTGGGGAATGAGCACGTGGTCTTTTAGCTAAGAATGCGGCTGTTAAATTAACCTAAAAAACGAAAACAATCATTTTATGGAGATTTACACATATCCAAAAAAATAAATATTCTAGGTGAATGCTTCTTATTTGTAATAAAAACTTTCACTAAGCTAATGCCTTATATTTTTATTTTATTCATATTTATCTCTCTTCTCTTAGTGTTTTTTTTAATGAGACTTAAGGTGTCATCGAATGGTACAAATTGTTCAGAATGCATTCGATTATCTATACATCATATATACCAGTGGAGTTCAGTCTGTGTCAGGTGTGTAATTGCTATGCACTGCAGGTAATAAATGAAGGGTTGCAAGAGTCCATAGAATGATTGAACTCAAACACTAACACCGATGAATACAAACCAAATGGTCTGGAGTTTAAAGGTTTACATACGAGACCGGAGATCCTGGGTTCGACCTCCACGCTCGGTCTTGTGAATATGAATACTTGGATAAAACGGCCATCTAGTAGTTGTAGGTTTTCAGTTATGTTCTAGCTAAGCTACAGTCGCTATTAATCCTCCATACTGATACACTATATATAAATATATCAGGGTATAATATGAAAATCTGTATCGATAAGAAAATCCCATTGAATATTACAGCATAGCTAGTATTGATTGTTTACTCTGTACGGAGGAGAACAATCAACTATCTCACATTGATCTTAATCGTTGTTGAGACAATGTTAATCGCATTGATTTGTAATGTTACGTAATCGTTTGAGGAAATGTTAACAAACTACTCAACTTTAAAAATAAAATAACAACACAATCTACTTACTATGGGATTATTTGATTTTGTACTCATGGTAGATGTATCCGATTTTGTCAATGATTCATTCGATTTCTTGCCTTGTGAACGTGGACTTGGTGTCATAGTAACACAATATTTAAGACTACAACACAATGCAGGACTGTCTGATGTCTAATTTAAAAAGAAACAATGAAAGTTAAGATCGATTACGCAATAAAATAGACACAATTAAGTTAATTATATTAACTAATAAATAAAAGTAAATTTCATAATCATTGAAACAATTCCCAATCTCTAACTTGGTAACTAAATTTAAAGATGCAACAAATTCAAAGAAATATCTTGTTGATATTGTTGTTTTGACATTCAATTATTATATACTAAAAAGTAAAATATACACGGATCAATGAACAAAAATTAATTGGGGTATATAATTAGTATAAAACCAAATGTTAACTTTATAAGCTTGATAGGTATAATGAAATAGTATATACATACACACGTGTATAACAAGAAAGAAAACCTTAATACGAATATATATATACTCATATCTGAGACAAAGGTCATCTAATACTTCTCACAAGGATTGATAAATAAAGATATCACAGTAAAACTTATTGATGCTGTAAGAATAATGTATTAAATCTTTACTTCTTTTTTTTTTTTAAAAAAAAGGACATTTTTATAATTATTTGATAAATAATATTTAACAAACAGATGGAAGATAACTGGTTGGATAAATTTTCAATGACAAATTTAGTATTGAAGGATAATTCTGTCACAGTTTCGTTATGGTACTTTAATTTATTCGAATGATTAAGCATGCTATATATATAAATAGGAAAATAAGCTGAGAGACAAACAAATACGAGTTCATACACACATGTACACATATAGACAGATATATACATATACATACATAAGGATTCAAATAACACTAATATTATCATTTGTTAGTCATTTATTTGAAAACTTTCACTTCAGTGACTATTAGACATAGATCAAATGTATATTTAACATATTTGGGTATTCGGCCAAATAAGTACATAACATTATGTGAAGTACAAATTGTAAAAGAAATGTGAAATAAATGAATACTATATTTAGTAGGAAGAAATCTAGTCTGAACTAAATCGATATATAGCTGATGATGACCTTTATATAAGTATATTTGTATAATGTTAATGGTATTGATAGGAAATGACTAACTGAGAGTGTTAAATTATTGTTGATGGTAGTATTTCACGAATAGAATGATTAAATGACCTTAGAGTCAGTAACAAGTTATAAAACTCACAAACTCGAATGAATTGCTGATCATTTGAATTGTAGCATTGAGACTTAAGGGCATGACCTTGTGAACAGATTTTAAGACATTATATACAGTCATTAAATTTCTATACAAATAATGTAGAAGCCCATATTGACAAGTTCAACAATATTTATTATCAGTATTAAGATTTGAGGAGATTGTAGTATTTTAACAGTTAAATTCACAAGTCAATCTAATCTAGACCACCATCGAAAGCCTGGAAGCAGTAGACAACTGTTTCGTCCTAGTATGAAACTCCTCACCAGTAAGCATCTACGATCTCATACGTGAGACTTGGACCCATGACTCTCGATCTCGCAAGCAAACGCTTAAGCTCTAAACCACTGAGCCGACATCTAACTTCAATTTATCCATGATTTCGCACAGCCATTCATCCATTGTCTCACACCATTGGTCACAACTCACTAGAACTCCAAGAAGTCCATCTTGAAGCTATTCATTGGTGAGCACATGATATTATCCGTATGAAAATTTTTGGAGATTGTAGTAGTTTCACAGTTGAATTCATGAGTCAATACTAAGACAAAACAGCCGTCCAGTGCTTTCAGGTTGTGGAAATTCGTACAAAAAAACCAAACGATTGTATTCAGATATATATTTAATTCACTAGATCATGTACATGATTTTAAATACCAATACTTTGTACAAGGTTCACTAGGGTTACTTGTCTGGTCAAATGTAGATAGATAAAACTATGATGAAACAAGTGATTTATTATTCAAGTGTTTCAGCTACTAAATGATAGATCACTGTGAACTATATTTGCTTCGAAACATCATTATCACAGTATTGCATTTAAAAATTTTAATAAAATTCAAATAAACATTGGTAAAATTTAAGCATATAGAATTGAATTTTATAAAACTCAACAAAGGTCAACTCAAACATTTTCAATAAAGCCAAAGATTCTATTTATTCAACTGTTTTTTAAAAAAAAGAAGATATTAGTCCATGTAATGCTTTATTTATTTTAACTCAACTAGCCTTGTCTTGAGGGGTTAATGGCGTGGACATATAAATAACCCCGCTCATCCACCCCCCCTCACATACAAACACCACTACGTATTCAGTAAGGATGAGAGAGAGATACAGAAATTTGTATTACTCAAAATGTTCATCTTATTCAAAGATAACATTGAAACATTTCAGTCATTTCTATTCCATATGTCTTGGTTATTCTTATTTCGACAAAGTGAACTATAAAAATAATCAAAATGGTTAGAGTAGATTTTTTTCTTTCTTCGTTTTTCCTCTTTTTTTCCTGTTTTATTTATTTATTGAATTATTGATTGATTGGTTGATTTATAAAGACATTATTGTTTTTATTATTGTTATTATTATTATTAGCAGTAGTAGTACGAGTATTATTAGTATTTTGTGGCCATATGTGCAAATGAAACGATTGGTATTATTTTGTTTACATACCTATATATATATATATATACAGCGAGAATTGTGGAAGAAAACACAATTAGTGTAACACAAAAATTTCTGAGCAAAGCTACATGTGTGGTCTATTCTGACAATAATAATAATAATAATAATGATAAATTGATAAGGGGGTGGGAGGGTGATTTCATTCTTGTGGCGGAATACCATTTGTACTTTCATAACTTGTATCATACACCCACTATCTTTTTCTTAATATCCACTATTACTTACATTATTAGAAAAAAAGTCCATCTGTTTGACATGAATTGTTACACAGTTTAATGTTTGTTTCATTGAATAGTAAAGAAAAGAAAAAAAAGGAATAACTGAAATTTTCCCTTTAGCATATAAAGAAGATTCAACATTTTATATACAATATATAACGACATTTATCAAAATAAATATTAATTTATTGATTCATGATTAATAAATATTTTGATTATAATGTCCTAATGTAAAGGAGAAAGAAATGAAGAGCCAAATAAATTTAAGCCACATGCCTACTTTTTATTGATTTGTAGAAAGTAATAATAATATGGAGTAATAATGATCAGATCTATCTAATATATAGATGATATAAAATGATCAGAAAAGAAAAGAAATATCTTATCGCTAGAATTCGATATTAAAAGAAAGATGATCATATTCTTTGACATGAATATAAATGTCATTATAAAATGACATTATGATATTTTTTAAAAATGAGTAATTGTTGAAATCATTTCCAAGGTCGATTAAATCTGATTGTACTTATAATACAGTTCAAACGAAATTAGTTAATAAAGTTGAAACGACGATATTCTGTGAATAATGCAAATTTATGATAATGAAATCATCATCAGTATAAGACTTATTCCCGTGTTGGAAATTTATAATAGAATATACTGAATAAGCTTTGGATTCATTTCATGTAATTCAGTTTAATCACAGATGTAATAATTTAATTACCTAAATACATAGAACCTGAGTTGTTGATTATACAGTAAGATCATATTCAAAAAATAACAATTTCTATCATTCATTATGATCCACTGCATTTAACTGTTTAATATCAATCTGATTAACAGAATGATTATCAACATGAAAGATGATATAAACATGATGACTATCTAATAATTAGTATCGGGCTGTGAAAATTGTTGAATTTTAATTGAGATCATAAACCAATTCATATCACACCATCATTGAAAACCTGGAAGCACTAGACGACCATTTGTCCTAGTATGGGACTTCTCAGAATTGCACATCCACGATCTATTAGTAATATGTATATAAACCATTTGAAAATTATAACAATAACAAAATATTAACTAATGATGACAATAATACTTACTTGATGTAAAATTAAATTTCTTGTACAATCATGTAAAAATAACGAAGGAACTTGAAATAATCTTGTAACAGATAAATTTGTTTTTAATTCATCCCGTGCTAATTTAACACATAAATTTAATACATGTATTGGTAATGGATTAGCTAATGAAATTGGTGTAGTAGTTGAACGATCAAGAAAGAATATCGGTGAAAATAATACAGCTAAACTACTTTCATCTACTTCACAATCTGGTTCATTTGCAACTGTAGCCATTAATTCAAATAATGGTTTAATAATTTGTTGAACTAAACGTATTGGACATAATAGAAATAATAAACGTATAGCACGACGTTGATAAATTTCATTTTGTTTGATGCTACTAATTAATTGAATAAATAAACGACGTAATGGATTAGGTATTAAACCAATACCTTGTCTACGTAAAATGCGAGCTAATAAACAAGCAATTACTGATGGATCATGTTCATGTAGTATTCGATCAATATTATTCATTTCAGTTGTAAACTGATTTTCATATTGTTTAGCTGAATTGGATTTTTCTAATGAATTTGATGAAGTATTATTGGAAGATGAAAATGAAGTAGATGAGGGTCCATGTTGATGAAATAAAATTTTTTCGAAATTATTTACATTTGATTGATTCCCAGGACGTCGAAAAATAAATCGATGTTTGTCTAAATTGAAACGAAATGAAAAAAATAATAAAAATTAACGATTAGACATGATACGTTCATTATATCTAAGAACATATCATTACACATAGTATTACTACCTCAATATATATACAGATAGATAGATAGATAGATAGATAGATAGATAGATAGATAGATAGATAGATAGATAGATAGATAGATAGATAGATAGATAGATAGATAGATAGATAGATAGATAGATAGATAGGATATATTGTGTACTTACAATTTTTATTTCTAAGCATAAATCGTAAAATTCCATTGACCACTGTATACCAATGATTAATTTCATTCTCTTTGGAAACTAAAAACAAAAAAATATTTACGTTATAGAGTATAAAGGTACATGGTTCTTATAATGCGATTATTACCAACATTTATCATAAAATATATCAAATTCTTTTGTTTACGGTACAAAACAAGAATGCAATACATAGAGATGGGATGAAGTGAATACAGATAATTTTAAAAATAATTCTACACTACAAGTTGACAATAAGTGGAAAATCATTGACACCTTGCAACCGTACAACCGAACATACACAGAATTCATGTCCTTAGGTATGCTAATGCCGTATTGTGAAAGTGAATTGGAATTCAATGTTCTGCGTATGCTAATTTTACTCAGACTCTCATACATGACAATATTCATTAGCTAAGTTAATCGTATAAATGATATCTTTTAAATAAAGTCGTCTCCAAAACCGTTCTTTGCAAGATATATATATATATATATATATATATATATATATATATAGAGAGAGAGAGAGAGAGAGAGAGAGAGAGAGATGAAACGGCCGTCCGGTTCTTCAGGTTCTTAATGGTGGTTTAGCTTAGAGTGACTCGTGAATTTTACTGTTAAACTATATATACTTTTAAAAATATTACTTAATACAGATTGATATCAGTTAATGAATTACTGGTAATCATGAGATCATTGTTAATAAGTTTACTCAACTTCCCTAAACGTGCTTCATTTCTATACCTTCAAGCAACACTCAAATCATGAGCATTAGTAATGCTATATAGTTGTCTTAACCAAAGTAGATGAGACAATATTTGTACCGGCAATTTAGTGATTAAACAACAAATATTGTGTCATTCTCTCTGTAATCATTGACAGTTAGAATTTTCTACAACTTAACATAAACACTTGTATAAATCTAATCTAATTCACACAAAATAGATTGTTAATAATCCTAAACCAAGCAGCTGACTTCTTACAAACTAATCAACTAAACTCATTTGATCAAGTACAGGTTTATGTAATCAGATCTGAATTATAGTCTGTTCGTTTAAGGTGTAGTGATATTTCTCCACTACTTAAGTAGAAATAAGTTAATAGTAGCTCCGTATGTTTTCATACAACGATTATAAACTATTTGGTTAACTAAATTAAATCAAACATTACACGAACAATAACTTACCATTTTGTTTTTGTTCACGTAATCGACTCAACATTTTTCTTGGTGTATACTGTGTTTTACTATTGCTTTCGTTTGTATTATTACTATTACTACTATTATTATTATCACTGACTTCGGACTTATTAGTTTCCAAATCTGTCTTGACTGTTGTTGTCGATGTTGTTGATGATGTTAACGTTGTAGTTTGTAATTGTTTGGCATCTTTTACTAAAATTTCACGAATTTGATCTAATTCATCTGAGGTGAATACTAAAAAGCCTAAATAATTTGTAACTAATGCTAGAAATTGCGATGGGTAACGTCTACGGAATTCATACAAATCTTGATTTGGTTCAGCAATAAAAATATCTAATTGCGTAGAATAAGAACAATTGGCATTGAAAAATATGGAGGATGATGGTGAACCATTATTATTGTCAATATTAATATTATTATTATTATCATCATCATGTATTAATTCATTTAATATATCATCATGTTTTCTGCAAACTGATAATGTGGTACGTGATGTCACCAATGGAGCATTTGTGGGTACAACAACCTATAGTAATAAACCAATTAAAAAGATAATTTATAAACAAAACATAATGAAACATGGATAATTACTACACTTATACATATTACTTCCTGACATTGTGAATTACATTTATCTCATCTATTATGGAGTGATTTATTCATTTTAATATACATGAAATAATTCATCTATTCGATATATCAGTAATAAAAATCAATTATCTTCTACATTTTATTCAAATACCGTAAGAACAGAAGGACAAAGAGTTTTTCAAAAAAAAAGAGATTAATGATAATAATTCAGTATTTAGTTTGAGTAAATATACATCTTTTCAATGTAGTTCATATAGTAAACTAACATTAACTGAATGTACCATTGATGATTATATTGTAAACATTATCCATCTAACCAACCCTTTAAATCATTAAAATCACATTTTAATTATCTGCTACATCTATAGAACAAGTTGTTTTTTTCTTTCTATTTAAACAGTAATTATGTGGGACAGGACAAGGGTATAGTTACACACAGACACCTAAATAAAAACGATTACACACTCCCTTTTTTGTTGTTGTAATGAATGTGAGGGCGAAACAATATAATATAACATGAATAATATTTATGAATAATATTTGTTATTCATATTCAATTAGAAACAATAGAAACACAAAATACCTAGAGACAATTGTTGATAAATGTCAAAATGTTTATCAATGTTAGTTCATCATTAATATGTGTGTATGTTTGTGTATAGTTGTATTCAATTAATAATATTTCTTTTTACATGAATCTGTTAATAAAACAACAACAAAAATTGAAAGTGTTTAATGCCAGTAAAACTTGAAAATTCATTGATCGATTGATCTGTATTGATAAAGTTATCATTCTTTTTTTAACGGTTAGCCAACTTCAATTCTTTTCTGACCTAATTGTTATGTATATACATGACGATAACAACAACAACAGTGACCCAGTTTTTTAAAAAAAATTTATTAGTTAAACTAAGTATGAAATTGTTGTATTTCTATGTGAATTTTCTATCGATAACAACAAAACAAATAAAGGAAAGTGTTGGGTCGACAAGATTATATTATCAAATAGATATATTCATTTAATAAGAATTACTCCCATTTGTCCCCAGTTAATATTAGGTTTTGTACTGGTTACGTTTTATTATTCTACTATTAACTCATTCACTAAGTACATATTTGTATAATTGACTTTGAATCATAATCTAATAATTGTAAAGACTAGTGCTACTAACCGGTTCAGCAAACTACGGTAGATGGAGTAGGTTTCGAACCCGTGGCTAAGTATTTAAATGTTTTAGCAACTGGCCAATAGGGCTATTCACACATTTTGTCATGAAGTATTACTGTTATAAAGTTAACAGCACTTAATAATTCTTGCTAATATTTGTAAATTGATAATTTTAAGAATAAACTGCTCGGATAATTTAAATTCATAGTCGAAAAAGAAGCTATGATAAATAGATAGTTAACTTTCATGAACATCCCTCTATCCTATACATTGTACTCACTTTATTTTCTCAGATGATTAACAATAAAATGCTATTCGTCAATTATCTTCTTTTCTAAAATGACTTAACATTTGTTACCATCGTCACTGTATCATATAAAATAAATATGTGAACAAAAACCTTATGTTATTAGAACCCTACTTCTATGATATTGATAACCCCTCTTCAGAAGAACAGATTGAATTTCTAGTATCATATGGTTCAGTAAAATGTTTTACAAACTAACTGACAATAAACATTGGGTAGAATTGGTTACCGCCATTGAAATTATCTTAGTTATTCCTTTCAATTATACCCAACATACATCTGTTGTTTACATAAAACAGATCCATGATTTTTATATGTCCATAATGAGTTCATTAAATACCATCTGATCATTTACAGATCTGATTAATCTCTATTATGATATGATTCATTGATTATTCGGTTCATTAATTATACAATAACATATTCAATCAAAGTTATTTAACAAAAAAATCGTCCATTTACCAGATCAACATAAACAAATAAAAATTTAACTAATCATCTATTTATCATAAATATTTTAGTATCTAAGATGGACATGTCTATAAAATACTATTAAGAAGTAGACAATAAAAACAGTTTACTAAATTACATGCTTAGGCTTTTCTCTTACAAAAGATTAGTTATATATTGGCATTCGTTTAGTAACAATTACAACCTAAAGAGACCATATGATTACGTGTCTGTGTGACTATTTACATGTCAAATGAATAATAAATTAACCTTGCCAAAATAGGCTGTGCCTAAATCATGTTGACAAAATGAAACACGGTACTGACGAAACAGACATTTTAATTATGCAATCGAATGACAACTTAATTGATAGTCATTTATTAAGTTGTCCATCAAATATGGTGTTACAAATGGCAATAGTAACTAACACATTAGGCAGATGGCTAGTAACATGTTGAGATCACGAAAATAATTGTCAAAAACAATCAATGCCTACTTTATTATGCTAATTCGCCGAATAAGTTCTACAGATAATTGTTAGGGATATTTCAGTTAAACAAAATTGTGATTTTTTAAAATGAAGTTGAACATAATGTAGTGTTATGAGATATATCCAACTATGTGCTGTGGAAAAGTTAGGAATAAAAGAATAATACAGGTTTATATCCACTTAATAGACTCATACATCAATAGTTAGTTAGAATGATACATGACAGTTCACTTTTCCAGAATTAAATACCTAACTATTTATTTGTTACCTTTAGACAGTGTTTATGAGTAATGTGTGAAAGTTATATTTAGTTACAAGCATTAACTTAGTAGAAAAATTAGGATTTAAACTTAGTAATCAATCATCTAAATTACATCAACCAACATTTCTAATTGGATTAGTATAGATAAAAATGCATAACAAATTTAGATGTAGTTAATTTTATATCTAAATACAGTGATTTCCAATAGAGAATAAATGAATATAAGAGATAAGTGGATAGTTATTCTTTCTTAGATTTGTATGCCCAATAGTTTACTCGAAAGTTGAATAACTTTTTACTATCCACTGGTATTTACTAGTTCCATATTCCATGAATACAATAAATTTTTATCAAGTTTATTATCTTATTAAAAATTATTTTAAAAAAAATTCGGTACTTACCTTCAATTGTGATGAACAAGTGTTAAATTTCCAGTTAAATTTATGATTAGATTTTAAAGTTTTATTTATATCACCAAATGATCTACTCCGTCGTGCAATACGATTTCGACATGGTGTAAAAACATTTAATAATTTAGCTAATTTTTGTCCTGATGAACTTCTGCGTTGTGATTGTTGGCGTTTGTCGGGATCATGTTCATTAACTGATGACTGTAATGAATCAATAGAAAGTACTATAGAAATTGTATCATGTACATTATTAATTGATAATTTTTCAATATTTGTAGCTCTACTTAAAAATCCCGAATCAGTATCGTCTAATTTATCTTTATGATGTTTACTGTGATTAAATGTGATATGAGATTGTTGTTGTCGTTGTTGTTTAAATAATTCTGATGATTGTTTAGACATAGCTGGAATTTGTGCACTCTGAACAAATTCAGAATAGAGAGTCATTTCAATTACAGTAATTTGTATGATTAAATCGACTCAATTACTTTTACTTCTATTCATTTTTTTGCTACAAAAATCAACCAATAGGAATTTAATCCGTTTTCATACGTTAATAAAAATCAACCAATCATAATTGGCCATCAATTATTAAACTGTGATATAAAGGGATCAGTAAGATGACACGTGAATAAGATTTATGAGAATTTTACTGATGAATAAAAAGTAGTGTATTTTTGTACTGCTGATAAACCAATTCGTAATAGATTCATTTTCTTAAGGTTAACTTATAATTATGTACATTATCTACGTCTAAATTTTCAGTTAATTTAGAAAATAGTGGAACATTGAAAAATACAATTAAACTGAACATGTTTAAATATTCATGATTTTTAGTTTCAATCATTGTTTGTTTGTATGGACGAACAAAATTCGTTTAAATCATGATAATTATTCGGGTCTGTTATGAGATAGTAACTCACTGAAGACAATAGTGGATATGTCTCTCAAATTAGTGGATTAGTTGAAGTTAGACATTAACACCTCTGGATGTCAGTTAAGTGGTCTAGGGGTTAAGCGTCCGCGCGAGAGGCCGATAGGCCGTGCGTTCGAATCTCGTGAGGCGGGATCGTGGATGCGCACTGTTGAGGAGTCCCACAATAGGATGAAACGGTACATCCAGGTTTTCCATGGTGGTCTAGCCTTAATTGAAATGTCTAAACAATATGGCAGGCTAGGAGGGTCAATCAAAAGTAGTGTAAACGGGAAAATACGACCCGGGGTGTCTAGAATAAGTGTAATTCACTGGATACAAACCGAACTAACAATGATTCACTTCAGAAGGACCATTTCTGCATTATGATAATGAAGAAAAAACCCTCTGAAACACAAAGAGTTGTGCTGATTCTGTCCAAAGCAGCATGAAAAGAACCGTCTAGATGACAAAACTAGGGCTTCAGGATCATTGACACATCCTTCGAAACGAACAAAAAAATAAAGACGACGGATGTCATCAAGTGTTATACAGTTATCAGTAATAGCAGCGAAGATGATAAAGATTAGTCTTGTGTGAGGCTCGAGTTCATTCTAAAATGTGTCCAAAAAAGGGCCTGACCTTTGTGATGAGGGGTCCTAACTCTATGGTCGAGAAGGATAACTCTGAACACTAACACCAGCTGAAGTACTGAAGTTAGATATAGTGTAACTGCAAAGATGCTCCACATCATATTCAGAAAGATTTAGGAGGGAGAACAAGTCCAAACAGACTGGGAAGAAGTATACCCCAAAAAGATATTAAAGAAAGGACGTCTTGATAAGTGTAAGGACTACAGGGGCATCAAACTACCATCAGTACCAGGAAAGATTTGATAAACGCCGAACTACAAAATCAACAAGTTGGATTTCGTAAAAATTGATTATATATCGACTGAATCGCGACACTGTTAATGATTGTTGAGCTATCGATCAAATGGAATTCATCACTACACATTAGCATCCTTGACTACGAGAGAGAATTCGACAGTATGGATAAGAGAACCTTATGGAACCTCCCTCGACACTATGGTGTGCCTGAAAAAACCGTCAACATCACACGGAATTCATACGATGGTCTAGAATAAAAAGTGGTTCATGGAGGACAGCTGACAAATGCATTCTAAGTGAAGACCAGTATCAGACAAAGCTGCTTACTCTTCCACTTTACCTTTCCTCCAGAGGTCGAGTGAACTATGAAGGTCTCCACATCTGACGGGAAGTCCGGAATACAATCGATAGCTTGAATGCAACTGGACGACTTGAACTTCGTAGATGACCTAGCTCTTCTATCCCACACATACCAACAAACAAAGATGATGATAGCTACTGCAGCAACCTTTTCAGCAGTAGGCCTCAACATACACAAAGTAAAAGCAAAATCCTAAAATACAACACAGCGAGGATGAACTAAATCACTGATTAACAAGGGCGATCTGATTTAAATGTGAAGGCATGGAATGGCAGACCAAAGGCAACATTCCTAAAATTAAAGAACATTCGGAATTCGAAAGAACCGTCATACAATACCAAAGTCACAATGTTCAAAGCCAAAATTAAAATAGTTCTATTGTACTCAACTAAAACTTGGAGAACTACAACTAACATCATTCAAAATTTACACGTATTTATAAACAGTTGTTTACTTAAGATACTCCACATCCATTGGCCAGAGATCATCAATAATGCCCGACTATAACAAAGAACAAACTAGTTAACAGTTGAGGAGGAAACTAAGAAAAGTTGTTGGACACACACTTTGTGGAAATCATGAAACTGCATCACAAGACATGTTCTAAATTAGAGTCCTAATGGTTTAAGTGAAGTGGCAAACCAAATAAATTATGGCGTCCGAAATCAGAGGGATAAATTAAGACTACGAGAGAGGAGAGTTCGTGACACAATTTTTTGGGGATCCGTGATCGACACCCTATGACTCAAGAAAGGTAATAGGTCTAAGTTAATTAGTAAGTAATATTTATTTCATGAACTGAAGCAAGTCCATGTCTGTTGGTTGTCATCGTTAAAATAAGGCAATATAATTTTTAAGTATAAACAATAATCACTAAAATTACTAGTTAAAAAAAACTTATTTTGACTAAATTTGAGCAAAATATCAACCACTGAATTAGAGACTAGTGATCTTAAGATTTTACACTTACTGTCAGACTTAGTGTTAAGTTTGTACAGGCTCACAATTGAACATGAATTAGGAGGTCCGAATCAAGAAAAAACAGTATTACTAGTTCCTTAGTTAATCTCAATTCTTGATTACAGTCATTCTTTTAACTCTATAAGACTCCATAAATAGTCAAGTTAAAAAAAACTTTTAAAAAATCTCGTAGCATTTTTTCAATGATATCATATCACTTAATTTGATTATCATAACTCTCCCATACATACATAAGTGCATATTGTAGAGAGAGAGAGAGAGAGACAGGGAAATCGGTTTTTCATCAAGATGTTGGGATCAGTATGCTCTATGAATCATTAAGATAAGATGAATGTGAATATTATTCACATTTATGATAAATAGTATCAAATCCACAGGTGTACTTTTAAATTGATATGTGACTTTACCGATATTATAAAAGTGACACTATTTGGTAGAATTTTTCATCACTGATCACTTAAAACCAGGAAGGATTTGGCAAATGTCTCATTTATGCAAAAGAGCACCTTAACAGTTTTCATCCACAACCTTATCAGGGATAGAAGCTATGAAAGGTGTGAAGATCTTAAGTTTGATTTATAGCAAAATCACGCATGAAGACTGCTAAGAAGCCTGATATCTGAACAAAATAGCTGTCTATTGTTTCTTAGTCTTCAGTAATTGTCTAATTTTTGTAAGACCATGATACATACTACAAAAATCTAACTGTCAAAATTAAAATATTTTGATCATAGTATATTCTACTTGCTTGAGAATTATATCTATTTACTTCATCAGCCATATTTTCACTCAGAGTTTCATTGATAAGTTAAGTATACGTATTTTTAAACAAAACGTGATATTAGTTACTATACAGAGATCATGAAATGAATATTTCAATAGCTGATATTCAGAACAAAAATTTAAAAAAAACTTATAATCCTAAAACGTGATTTGTTAAATAATCAATCTTTTCATTATGTTCTGTATTAATAGAAACTAGTCGAAATATTATTACTCGTATTGATCAGTTCATTCAGTTGTTAGATAAATAGATAATATTGATATTCAGTGATCGCCAATCGATAATAAAAGTCATATTTATCTAGGGCATAGTGATGATCGAATTCGATTGATCAAGTTGTGTTAATCATGAATACTAGTGTGAATGACTTGACATCATATGAACTATGAATTGATTTAGCAAGGATCAAGATGATTAACAAGTGGATCTCAGACTAGGTACTCGTCAGTGATGAGAGATTTGCAATGAACAGATCCCTGATGTTGTGATCAAACGCTTTACAATGAGAATATGATATATTGTTAATTTATTGATGATTAGTACATTTATAATTATATGACTTAATTTACACTCTATACCTTTAATCTAAACAGTTAAGGTTCAAGTGTTCATAAATCTGTGAATTGGTTTATCAATATGAAATAAATTGTCAATAGTCAATAACTATAGGTGATACATGTCTTGCATTTTTGGTTTAGATGAAAATAAAAAGCGTAAGTTGATTATACAACTAATTAAATTTAATAATAATTCATTCAACACATTCTAACTAATATAGGTTTATGTATTCAGCTTTAAAAAATATTAATTGTGATATTAGTAGATAGAAAAATATATGTACTACTACAAAAAATTTACAGAGACTACTGAATTTCTCAGATTACACCATGGACTGACTTCAGATAGACAGCCACTGGAAAAAGAATAACTAAACAACTGTTTTGACTCACCATGTAATTCCTCCACTGTGTTACTCCACAATCCCACTGAGGACCCTTAGCTTTCACTTAACTTTTAGACAGTGGTTTACAAGTGTAGTTTCAATACATTCATGACAGTAGAAGACCATCTTCAATTGTTTTTAATAGGACGTGACACGGTGGGATCTCATCGGTTTTTGTATCTCACTAGAATCCCATAAATTAACCTTCAGAACTCTTATTAGGTTGATAGAATGTTTATTATTACTGTCATCATGACTGCCATTACCAATAATAATAATCGTAGAAGGAGAAAGGTTGTTACCATTCGAATTAGTATCAGTACCATTCTTACTGTAAAATAATGATAAAACGACCAATACCTATTCACTATTTAAAAAAGAACCATTGTTATTTTAACTAAATTCTGCTTATTTCGAGAAAGAAATTTTCCTGATTTATGGACATGCAATTAAGGAAAACTGAGAAATATCGGCGGGGGTCCATCACAAACATTTTAGTTTGAAATTTCTCATTAACAGTAAGCAGTCATATTCTTGTTTGAAACAGGTTTCGAGGGGTACATGAAACCATGTAATCATCGGGCCGAAACTGTTTT